AAAACTAATGTGGTCAGCGTCCAATGTGGAAGACTTACACAGTTATTTATTTTGGGGATGTATTTACCGCTACAAAGCATTTTCGTACAGGTGTGATCCTTATCCATTCTCTAGATTGTCGAGCATAGAGTCTTGGTGTAGCCAAAATCAGAACAAGTAAGCTATTGGACCTGATAAATTTCATCTGATTCTAAAACGTATATTAACACTGTTAGTTTACACATAAACAATATAGTCTGTTAAACAGGGGAAAGAAAGGACTAAATAACACACCGAACAGTAAGTAGAGGATAGAAAAACCAGTCAACGAAGTGAATAATGTTGTGATTGGTGAAAACACAAGGCATAGTCATACTAGATCAAAGAAAGTTAATCTGATTTAGTGCATTTCATATAATCATTAGAGGGTTCGTTTGTCCATCACAATTTTTACCTTTAATCATCGATCTGCATCTTCCGATGTATTCAACGATCTATGTTGTGATATGTATTCATCAAATCACTGTTTTGTTGATGAACGTTCATATATAGTGAATTGAACTTCCACATTATATTTTTTGTCTTGGTATGAATTGAATAGGAATTTCGATGCTTCATTTTCACATTCGCAACTGTTCTATCTGTCGGACGAATGTCGCAACATCGACGCGTAATTCCGTTACACGCTACTTACAAGCAACTTTGTCAGTAGAGTTCACTACACTAACACGTACTACATTTTTTAAAATATCTCAGAAAATCAGAACTGTCCCGTAGTTGCAAGCATGAATGGCGTTGTTTACGATGATGAATTTATCGACCTCGCACATCACTCATCTGTCACAACAATGAATCCATAAATGGGCGACATAGACGATTGGACACGTCCTGTATTCTCATCAAGATATAAGGCAAATAACAATAAATGACAACATTAGTCGTATAGTTAGCGTATTAAATAAACAAATTATTAGCGTGATTTTCTGGGGTTGACTGAATGAAATTTGTGGAGGTTGATAACAAACCAGTGTCGATATAGTTATAGGAAATTAAGGGACAAGGATAAATCGTCAATAGTACATACACGAAAACCCCGAGTGCATTGATATGCAGATAATCAATTACGTTAGTGTGTTCACTTTGCGCTTCATGATCTAAGACATCAAAACTTCACATCACCGAATCAATTTGACTACAAGTGAGGCGACCGTTTATTTTACATACTTACGTGACCATAACAGTATCGATCTACCGTGATCCTCATTCCTATTTCACGTTTGCCAACTTCTCATTCCCTTCGCCTTTCTGTTCACTCCATTATATCACTTACTACTGCTGAGTAGTTCATGTGTGCTGTGGTGTGAATCATTTTTCATCACATAGCTTGCTCTTCGTCTTCTCATTATTACGATAACCCATGAAATACAGTACATTTCCTATTGTAAGTGTAACATTTTAAACACATGATCTTCTTGTCCAGGTGTTCTTCCAGTTATTATTTGTTTGTGAAAATGTTCATGATTTGTGTGTATGACTCTCGTTTGGGAATGATGAGTGAGTCCATTGGCTAAATCGAGATAACATCGTTTGTTTATTAAATGATTCTTATTACTACATGTTATATGATACGTGGAAGGATGTGACTACCCTATCAACCTGATGAATCAAGGTCTGCAAACTGAATTACTTATGATGTTTCAACTGATTTAATGATTTCATGACAAATCGTTTGTGTTTATGCTTGACTGGGTCGTTTACTGTCTATCCTCAAGTTGATTCTAATTGCTTTTGCATAATTGTTTAAATACAAGTGATATGTATTCATCGAGTCACTGTTTTGTTGATGAACGTTCATACATAATGAATAGTACTTCCACATAATATTTATTGTTTTGGCATGAATTGAATAGGATTTTCGATACTTAATTTTCACATTCACAACGCTGTTGAACAGGACCTTATCATACGAAACAGATGTTTGCTGTCTTGTAGGACTTCAGATCACTGGTAGAATGTTAATTATAATAATAATCGGAGAAGAAATACGGAAAAACATGAGATCCAGTACAGTAATTTTTAGAAGAGGTCAAAGCATTTCCGCTTACAATGTTGGGTCTCACTGAAGCAGAAAACAAATCTGATCCGTATTCCCCGTACGAGGACTAGATGAATCTCAAACGAAGATACAATCAATGTCGAGCTGCATAAACTACTATATATGGTGGTCAAAGTGTATACACGCCCAAATTCATTATGGAAATTCTGAAGCAAAAAACAATAACTTGAAACAGCGCTCATGGCTTCAGGGAAGACTGTCTTCATGAACATTCGGCATCATGGTGAAACTGCAGCAGAAATTCTATAGAACAGACTTTCAAGATCTTTAGGAAGTTATGCAGTGTTAAATAGAAGAGCTCCAAAACTCCACCATCAACATCCATAAGAATAGAAATATTTTCACAATCCTACAAAGATCGTTCCGACGTTTGTCAACGTGCAAATGCTCTCAGTATATGTAATCACAATAACGACAATAATACAAATTGTGGCAACAGAGATTCATGTGAGAATATGTCTTTATTCATTGAGAAATGAGCTGGAAACATGTCAATCCTTGAATAAATTCTAATGTGACAACTTCCGAATCAGTCAAAATAATTGACATTTAAGTCAGAATCTGTTTCATGAATTATGGTTTCATCAGTCTGTTACATATGTCTTCCGTGATTGAGAAATGAGCTGGAAACATGGAAATAGGAGATGATTAGCTTTAGTTGATTGACAAATGCAGATGAACCACTGTGCTTATAGTGATAGTACAAGACAAAATATCACAACACGAACTCGACTATTACAGATGCACGGTGGAAAAAAATAAAACGATCAAGATCAGATCACATGTTTGCTTATATTGGATGTGGTGAAACATCAGTGTATTTGAATGTTTCATGCAAGTCACTGGATTACTCCAAAGTGTAGATATAGTCGACCGGGATTGTGTCAAGTTGTTGATGGCAACCTGTGTTCTACTCATATGTTTCATGGGTGTACTTTGCGGCACTAAGAGTTGTGTCTGACGATTTCTATTAAGGAAAGATGATGATTCGGAACTACATTTATCAATATTGTAAAAATCCATTATTATAGCGTCTATTTTGCATTGAAGTCGTTCCGCCATACAAATCGGATAGTGAATAGTATCTCGTCTTTAATGACAGATAGAACAGCTTTAAATTGAAAGAACTTCAGATCGAGGGAATTTCGTGAGGATCATACCAAGGTTGAACACTACATATTTCGTCATCACAGTTGTTAGTGAATAAAATTTAGTATGTTCAGGTGTCACTTGAAATAGATCATTATACACAACGGTATATAACTCCGCTTCATCAATGATGTACGAACAGGCTTTTTAATTCGTTGTCGTACAAATATGCAACTCTATTCATGTAGATTGAGTGGAACACGCAAATCAATGTCATCCTCAAATTCTTCTCGAAAATATTATTCATTCCTAAATATTCACACTCACACCAAAATAACACCACTTATTTCAACTTATAGTCCTCACTGCAAAACATAACACAATTTACATAATCCATTAATCCCATACACATGACTATTATGAAGAATAGTGGTACGACCCGTCATATTCTGTTTCTGTCCTCATGAGGTTATATGAAAACGGACAATCGACGTGCGTATGGACTTGTTTGTATGCGCAGATTGAAGAACTCGTTGAAGCGTGAAGTGGCTTCAGTATTCATGTGAGATCAGTGTGCACTTTCATGTATGTTTGTTTGCCTTCTACAAAATATTCATTTCCAAAGCTCTTATCTGGTTGGTCATTTCTAGTTCATTCTCATACTGTGTCCATATTCATTGTAGTATAAATACGAATCGGTTTTTAATTCAGTCAACTAGGTAATTCTTATGAAATGTAAGTTTTGGTTAGTAATTGTATAATGACCTATACATATTATTTTGATAAGCGTCCTACACTTGACATTGATGAGTTCCACTTCTCATAAATGTTCACGAGAAATCATGAAATGACATCAGAAAGCTAGTCACATTCTCACATGTGACGCAACATCGTAAGTTCCATTTTGTGTGGCTGGGTCGTAGATGCAAATGAATGCTGAATATTCTCGAGTTAAGACAAAATAGTGAAATAGTGATCCCCGGTTTTCGGAAGTGATCTGTCTCAGATCATTTCGTGGGTTTGACTGAAAATTTTAACATCTCTATTGAGCTCTGTACTGATAAGTTTTGATGAAGAGACAGATAAGTCAGGAGTGTGCCGACTAAGTTCTCAATGTGCTTGCCATATTCAGAATAATGCTTACAATAGTGTTGATATCAGTGATCATAAAACTTATTGGATAATAATAAAAATGGTTTTGAATGGGATCGTGAATGTGTAATGTTGAGGAGTCTCATACTAGGCGGAACGGTCGTCCAATGCTTCCACGTTTGCAATGCTGATCTAGTTTAGATGGACTCGTGAATTCATCTGTTAGAATAAATTTGTGTTAGGAAACTGCAAATGCTCGGCATGAATGACGATGGGAAGGATAAGTTCACAGTTGGTGTTCTCTTGTTCCACTGAATTCAACGCTTTCATAGATGTTCTGAATTTCTCTGGGTTATATTCGCACTGAGTGCGACATACCGAAGTTGTGAGTAAACGAAGAGTTCATACGTCTCCGATCGAATCATTTGTAGGAGTGTTCAATTGAGGTGTCGCAACGTGAACGACAAATGAGATTATGACCGTTGATTAGTGACGTTTTTGTGTACACATTCGAGATTCATGTTTTCAACCTTATGAATTGAATGGAATACGCGAATGTGATGCGTGTTGAAAGAGTTCGCATATCAAAGGACATTGTTTTGATGAAATGAATTTGTTGATTTTGTTTCGATAAATCGATATTTGACGTTGTTATACATCTCAATGAAATTGCACTTCAGTCAATTCTCGATTAATAACTCATCATTTTTACTATTTAGCTGGCATGTTTACAGTGTTAACGATAGTTTCGGGAGCAGTCATCCTCACTCTGAATAGTGTAATGTGTCTGGACAATGGGTTGGCTAGAACACCGCCAATGGGATGGAACACATGGCAAGTATTCGGCTGTCAGTTGAATTGTCAGAGGTATCCAAACAACTGTCTTAATGAGGATGCAATCAAACGAACAGCCGATAAACTTGTATCGGATGGTTGGCGAGATTTGGGTTATAAATATGTGATACTTGATGATTGTTGGTTAGCAACACAACGTGATCCGATAACGAATAGAATTATGGCAGATCCTTCAAGATTTCCGAGCGTAAGTTCGTGCGTGTAGTGTCTGGAAAATGTGCACAATTTTCTCATTTATTTTGAGCAATATCGGATTATCGAAAATATATTAGCTTTGTGTTTGTATGGCCTCTAATATGATGATATCCTGATGTGGTTGTGAATCATGTAGAGTTTTCGTTAAAATAATCATTGATATTTGCAAATTCTGTTCGCTAATCTCTATGATGCGTTGCACTTCCAGGGTATGAAAGGCCTTGGACAATATTTACATTCGAAAAATCTACTGTTCGGAGTAACTATTGGTTATGGAACTCTGACATGTTCAGGTTATCCAGGTAGCATGAACTTTCTCGAATTGGATGCAAAGACTATGGCTGACTGGGAAGTGGATTACGTGAAGATGAACGCTTGTAACAGTCCTGATCAAATGATGCCTGATGGTTTTGAAAAATTCTCTCGACTACTTAATGGAACTGGAAGACCTATGGCGTTCTTGTGTACATATCCTCTGTATAATTCATGGTATGCAAACCCTCAATCGGTCGACTGGAAGCGATTACAAAACAACTGCAATCTAGTTCGCGCTCTGCCCAATTCTCATAGTAGTTGGGGATCTGTATTCAATATTATAGATGGATATAAACTTCGCAATGATATTTTGCCGAAAGTAGCTGGTCCCGGACATTACAATGATCCCGATATGTTAGTCTTGGGAAACAACGGACTTTCGAATGATCAAAAGCGAGCTCATATGGGCATGTGGTGTATGTTCGCTGCCCCACTACTGATCTCAGCTGACATGGACAAGGTGGATGAATTCAGTGCATCTCTAATACGTAACAAACATTTGTTGGCGATAGATCAGGATAAAGGTGGACATCAGGCGGAATTCGTGAAATCACGAAATGATGTACAGGTGAGTTGATGCATTAGATTGGAATTCTTATACACAAGTCTTGAGATACTCTTCTTTCTGTCGTAAAATCGTTAACAGAAAGTTCCAATGACGAAAAGCGACTTTCAATAATTCATCATATATTTTAACACTGTATATCGTACTAAAATGGTAGAACGACACAACAGCATTTTTATACACTAACTAAATATATTTCATAAATTAGTCGGCTGAAATGATCATTAGTTTGTTAATGTATCCAATCACTACCGGTGCAGCTGCAATTATGTAGCTGTCAAGTATAGCAACCAACTACGTTTTTTCATTACTCGTTCTTCAACTAAGTCACGACAAGTCGTTAACATCTTTTTCATTCATCAGTGTACTGAATATTAACAGACGTTTTTCATCTATTCACATATTTCTGTTTATACAGTTGTGGATACGAAAATTAGATAATTGTCCAATTGGTTGGGCAATCGCTTGCATCAACACAAAGGTTGATGGAGGACCAATCGACTTTAGCACGAATCTGGATGAATTCAAATCACAGATGTATACAATATCAGGAGATAAGTTTGAATTACTGGATGTATTCACGGGTGATAGATTCAAAGACGTGAGATTGACAGAGAACTTTACGATTTCCATCAATCCATCTGGAATAATGATGTTTCGAATCATTCCGTTTCATTTGATTACCAGTTTTCAGTAAATTGGTGATTGTTTTTACTAGTTGTTCGAAGCAAATTTCGACGATTCGTTGATTGTCAGATTGATAAGTAACTATTTTCATGCTAATGGTTTTCCAATTCACACTTAATTTGCTCAGTTGTTGTGAAATTTACTTTACACGGAAAAGAAATGATTGTCATTCGCTTTTTTCTTTCTTTCAATGTTTTTTTAGACTATAAACTCGTATCTTAATATGTAACTATTTCTCTTTTATTGAATGAATGATCGACAAAAACACCATAATCGTATATTGAAATTGTGCGTTGTCTTAAACAGAAGAATATTTACGATAGATCAGATGTGTATCTGCGTGGTATCATCACACAGCAATCTGCTACTTGGCATGTGATCGAATCTGTCAGGGAGCATCAGTTCCCTCAAGATTACAGGTATATGTGATAAACAGGAGTACGTGAAATATAGTAAAAACTAAAAATCTCAGAAATAACGCAATTTCATCAACAAGTACTAGATAAGCAGGAACGAATGCACTGTATTTGGAATCAAAATCAAGCATTCAACAAGTACAAAGGAATTGTTAGTTCATATAAATATCACATCCACCATAGCTTAAATAAGAATTCAAATTTCTGCAATAAACTGTACCTCTTCTTCGTAAGTTCATCGTGTCTGTCCGACCATGTATTGAATGTAGACTCTGTATGATCTAGAATATGCTCATTAGTATTACAATTAACAACAAAAGTCGGAACAGATTCACCAAGGTCCTGAGATTGGATACCATCACCATATCGGTGAAGAATGATTAAAAAATCGGCATCTATCAAAGCTACATCAGGTTTTCGATCATGACTAGGTTCATTCAACATACTGTCCTCAGATTTGTGGGGAATTTCGCAAGAAATATGGGAATTATTAGTACAAACCATATTTGGTACAATAACATGAGGAATCTGATAATTTGATTGGTTATAAACTGGTTTCTCACAAGGATTTCGGGTTTCATTTATATCTGGTCCACCACGTGACTCTATGTCACTTTTCGAAGTCGTGGATAAAGATAAATGATCATCAGAAACATCCAACTTAATAGGATTAGAATTACAGATTATAGCATCAGTTACAGCGGAATGAACCGTGGTATGACAAAGTGACTGAATGTGTCCAATCTTACCATATTTAAAGCATTGCGAATTACGAAATACAAACGAATTAAACATGTGAAAGTTGCCGGAGCACAAACATTGACCAAACGTGTGCCTATCTTCGTGAACTTCATCGCAGCTTCAAATTGAACTACCTGCGTAACCTTGAGTATGAACTGGATTCGGGTGACGTAGTAATGTAGTAGAATTTTCGATGTCCTAGTGAGTCATTTTTACGAAATCTTTCTATACTGCATTCGAAAGTTGTATACCTGACACAGTCTAGCAGTAGATCCTTGAGAGTTGTACAAGAAAGCGAATTGGGCTTTTCCGGCAAAGCCAGAGATTTTAATAAGCTATATGCTTCTTTTCCGATGAATGTGGGGAAATGTGCCACAATATTAACGTCCTCAACTTCTTCCTTGGTCAAAAGCCAGATTTTAAACCTTTCAAAGTATTCCCCAAATGCATCAAGATCTGAATGTATATCCAATAATTCCAACACTGGCTCCATCGCGACGCCAATCTGATAATAAGAAGCATTGGAATTATAGTACGAACTAGGAATCCCAGAAATAACGCAATTGAATTAAGAAGTACTGGATAAGCACGAACGAATGTGCTGTATTTGGAATTCGAAATCAAGCATTCAACAAGTACAAATGAATAGTTAGTTCATATAAACACCGCAGTACACCTTGCTGACGAGTGTCAAATAGCACGAAACCTAGGCCCAGGGTATACTGTCAACAACCTCTAATCGTCTTCTCATCTCTGAATAATGCATGCAGTTTCGAGTAACTTAGACCAGTAGTCATATTGCAACTTAGTCGATCTCCATTTTTATTTGTGTTAAAGAGCAACTGTTCATTAGTCGGCTCATATGACGTCGATCGACTTCACATTCATATTGAAATAAACTCAAAAGCTTACGGTGAAATGTAGACACCATCTACACAACAAACAAGTTTCAGGAATACTTAGAGTCAACTATCAGATTTTGTAGTTGGTCATTTCAGGTTGTGAATGAAGTCTTTCAGAATCTTATTGATCTACCATTGACGATATTGGGGAATACAGAATAGCTGATTAGCAATCGGATGCACATTGAATAGTTTCGAAACGTGTTATTCCTCTTCTTCCAGCTACCTAAACTGAAACCAGATGATGGTGTAGGTAAAGTTATTATAATGGCTGAATACTTTGCAGCAGTGACCATTACACACGACCAAGCTCACAAGCATGTAACTGAGTGGATAGTCTTGAACTGCACCGGCCACTTTTGACTTAGATTGGCTAAAATGTTTCGTTAATATCATCTGAACATGGAACCATTTTTTATGGAATACCGATTGTCTTTACACACTACTTTGCCAGCACAATCACTACTAACATCAATTTGTTTACCTAAATTAGCAAAAATATTCCATGAGTCGTATTCTTTAAAAAAAATTACTGAGATGTCAGTAAATGCTTCTGAACATTGTTCTATCAAGAACACGAATAAATAAACATGATGAGTGGTCATGGCTTCTAAATGCACTGATCTTCCTAATATTTCTAAGAAAAAGGAAGAAAATCACCCATATTGAAAGGCTTGATTATCGCATTATAATGGTCACTTAAAAAGCAGTTTATAATGTCTGGATCGTATTTTCTTTTAACTTTAATTTGAGAAGAGCTAACTAGGATCTGACAAAACAATATATTAGTCCATTTATCACTTTTGCAGACAATTATTACTGTATAGTCTAGTCGTTTATGAATATTCTCTGAAATACGACATAACGTAAGAAGAGTCTGTTAGCCCATAAAAGCTTAATCGGTAACTTTAATATTCAACTTTCAAATCAATGATCTCTATCTTCGATAAAGCACAAAAATTTGTCATCAAATATTGAACGTTATTCGTTCCAAATGCATTAGGCTAATGAACACTTCGCATTAATTTGCGTATTACTGTTTTTATTATACTCCATAAATGTACTTGATGAGTATCCAACATATTTACAATCAGTGCTGAATCATGAGATATTTAATGGACCAAGCACAATGACCGGCAGTTAGAACGCTGGACTTCATATGATAATTAGAGGCAAGTGAATTCCACATGTTCACTAGTTGTAATCAGAACCATTTTGTAAGAACTTTGTTGAGCACACACAGCCCAGTGTTTAAGTTAGACCGAACTCAGTGAGTACAGTCGAAGGTAATGTAACTGGAATTCGTAATGAGCGCGTGATAACGTACAGAGGAATCATTGTTCTATGCAAACATCTCATCCATCGCAGCTCAGATGAATATTTGACTTCTCATCATTCTTCATACTTTCGTTTAATGTAATTCAGAGTACTTTTTTGTAGTAAGATTGAGTATTTTTTGAAAAAGGCTATTTAATTTTGAATGAACAACGAAAATCGGATGCGATTCTCATGGATATTTGAATCATATTTCGTTGGCTTGATTGGGATGCATGCAAACAATAGATTGATCAACATTGTTAAGCTGGATTCTCGTGGATTGTCGACGACCATTCCTTGATGGAGTGTAATGTCAGTAGATCGTAGATATTCCATGTTTGAAAGCGCGAATTGTGTCTAAGCATGTTTTGTTATTTCTTTCTTCTCTTTACTGTTTGTAATTTCTGCCTTGAACGCTACAAATAATATATCTGGCAGGTCTTCAAACTTTGCAGCGACGTTCGCCCACAATCTGTAATTTAATTCTTTGTGTAATAAACTGTTTGACGGTTTTTACCGACGGAGGTTACTTCGTTTTTACGCTTTCTTCATTAGGCGGCTGTCATTTTGCTTCCTTGGTCTTAAATTGTTACTGATTGGAAGAATGGAAAGAAACACCCGTCAAATGGTAATGCTGTCAATCAGAATAGTTAAAGGTGTTTTGTTAGTGAAAATATTAGGCCACATATCTTTCTCAATGAACAATTCCTCGATCTTTCACAAACAGCCATTTATTGTATATTCTTTCGGCTTGCTTCTGAGTGATTATATTGTCCGATCATTGACTGACATCAATACGTCGCTAGATGTTGAGAAAAGCATATGGTCAATAAAGTAATTTTTCTGTTCTCAGGACTTGATGGCCTTATGTTTTGTTAGATGAGTATTTTGGTTATTATTGGTAATACAGTCGTATATCTTGGTAACTGGCATGATTTATATTGGTAAACGTCATTGTGTAACTTTTTCCAAACCTTTTCAATCCTTACCTTATCTGCAAGAAGGATGGATTTCTCATGCTTAACCAGAGTTTGTTTAATTCGAAACTACGTCATATTGAAAGCCACAAATGACAAATGTGTCGTGAGTGAAGATAGATGGATTCAACTCACTGTTGTCGATCATCGTAAATACTACTGTTCTGAACTGATTTTGTGGTAATTCATCTATTAAGTAATTGAAATAGTCTAATTAACAACTGTAACCTTGATATCTAGGTCTCATTTTTGCTTTATTATTTTTCTTAATCTCTCGATCGAGTAAACTTTGGTATCACAACTCATCGTGGAACCGTTTCTTGAATTGTAATTAAGAACAATACCATCTTGGCTGACAAATTCTGTACCTGATATACCTTGAAGTCATAATAAAATGATATTGTATAATTTTCACCTTCTGAACGACGTAAGTGTTGAGGTCTTTTCCTGAGTTTTATTCGTATAATTTATCTGTTTATTTGAACACATAAACATTGGTATAAGAGGGCGCCAAATACATATGCTCCACACGATAACATTGAGGCCAGTATTAGTTGTCGTCGATTTGCATGAGGGCTGTGATGCTACTCGGGCGCGAAAAATGGAGTAGATGGTTTTGCTAAGAGGATACACATAGAACGTTTGACCTGAAGGTCATATAATAATAATTTATATATTCTGAAAATAATAATTACAGAATTCGCACTTGTTTACAGGCATGATCAATTTGATATAAATAGTAACACTAGATGTACAGAACAAGCATACTAGTTCAGTAATTGTTTATGTAGTACATGTATTATGGCGATCCAATCATCAGCCGGAAAATATTAATTTTTCTTGAATTGTTAGCCTGTTGATTTATGAACGGTGTAA